GGGGGGGGGAGGCAGTACCCTTCCGGACCTTTGATTTCAGTTTCTGAGAACAGATTTCTTGATTCTGGTTTTTTCCGTTGCCATCTGATATAAATCACTTTCAGGAAATCCAGCAAAAAGTGTTAGCAGCCTACAAAGCGGCTACCCAGTTGCCTCAATAAGGATATGTAATTAATTATGATATTTGTTGTTTTTTTCTTTTTTGAAGTATTATTTTTCATTGTTATCCCTATATCGTGCCGCTTGATACGTATACGACAAAACGGTGTTGTTGCAGAAATTATCGCCTTTTTTTCCCGACGAGATTTTCAATGTGCATTCTGTATTCTTTCCTCTCTAGTAGTTCGCATTTCGGTCATCATCTTCTACCTGTGTAGCTGTGTATATGTATGTGCACGTTTTTGAGTCATTCAATTATTGTTGTTTTGAATCTGACGATTTTTATTGCGAGGTGTATCATCTGCCGTCGTTTTTTTCTTACGTACCGGTATAACAGCCAGTAAAAATGTCGATAATAACTGTAGACAAGCAAATTTGTACGCAGATAATGTTTCAAAAATGCATGCAACTGGCTCATTTGGTGAAAACCAGGCGCAAATGATCATAGCGGACCGCCACGCTAACCCTGAACGCAGCATCATCGCTCGCACTAGTTGCTCATGTTGCCAAAGGTTCATCAGAATAGAAACAGTACTTTCCCCCTCACGCTTTCCCTTACGAGATCCATGGCAAAAGTGTTATGAGGGGGTATTTGGACGAGTTTTCAGTCGTGTGGTGGATCGCCCGTCCATTGCCTGCGCACTGAATCGTTTCGTTGCAGCTACTCGGCAGGGTGAAAAGGCTAAGTGAACCCTGAGCGTACCCACCCGTGGAAGTTTCGTGGAGAAGCTAACAATTTAAATCGAAAGGAAGGGCTAGGGCTTGAAAGTTGAAGTTTGAGATACGAGAAGCGCCTTCATAAGGAGAACCCCAAATGGGAGAAACTGAAAAGTCGGATATGACGAATTCCACAAAGAAAGCTGAAATTTTGATGGAAATCATCAAAACGGGCAATGCTTGCATTTGGCAACTCATTGACGATTGATCTTCTAGGTTCGTTCGAGACTAGCAAATCTTGGTTATACGGAACCACCACGTTCTTTGCAATACATTCTCTCCGTCCCTGAGGTGGTATCTTGGATCTGGACATAAATGGGGTCGAGAAATCCGTTGATTCGCGAATAGAAAATTTTGGGTTATCCTTTATATATGGGTAACGAGTAAAGGCGAAAAAGAGGTGGGATAGTTTTTGGTAAATAACTCAAAGCAGCTACCATTCCCAATCTGTATGATACCGCACGGCAGTAAACAACCAACTGATCTACCATTCCAACCAGCACGAGCAGTACTACTCGATACTCCGCATCCACCGCACTTCCCTGATTGTATTTCTTTGTGCCCTCTCCCTAAGAGACTTCCCAGGTGGGTAATTAGCAAAAAATACGGTACACATGGTAGTAGGGCTAGGAGGGGGTCTTTGATGGATGGGAGAGAAGGCTGGGTTTACACCCATACGAGTGGGTTGATGGTGTTAAGCATACGCTGGTCAGCGGGTGCTCGGCGCCTACAACCCACTTCGGTCCTGCATCAGGTGAAGCAGACCTTAGAGCCATCCAGCACTGTGTGAAGCCAGAGCTGGATTATTTTCGGGGAAATGCTGCTCCTTTGCGAGAATCGAAAAAGAAGCCATCCGGGCGCGTGGTGGCACCGGCGTGAAGCTCGGCTGTGAGCTTATTTGGAGGTAGTACTTCACGTTTGGGAAAAAAAAATGAAGTAAAGCTGAACAAAAGACGTTCAGGGCTCATTTCCATTCCGGCAATGTCCAGAAAAGGCCAATAGCGTTCAAATAAATTTTTTGTTCCGGTCGATGTGAAATTCGAGTGAATGCTACAGACAGATGTAAATGCCAGTTTTACCAGGCATGCAAAAGACTTGAAGAAGGCGTTTCCTCGTTTGGCATTGAACTGATTCTGAGCAACCCAGAACTTAAAAACTCACTGGTTTGCTTGCGCGCGCGCCACGATTTCTCCACGCACCATTGGAGCCAATTCACCCCACCTGACCTTCAATATCACAGTTCAATAACGGTAAATCACGATTAGTATGAAAAGCGCTGGAATTGGTAAACACGATTTTTTAAGTATATTATTTAGAACCCTTACTAAAAATGAGAGCGGTCCTGGAATGTAACCGTGCTCATTGTGACGGGCTAAAGGGCGTTAGAAGGAGTTCGTTCACCTCCACGAGTTTGGTCTCTTCCAGGCCAATTGCCGCTGACTGGATATGGTGTCGTGACAAATAGGCGCACTATCCCACTCGCATGGTCCGGAGACCGACGTTTGGATCCTTCGGGGTCGGCTAACAATTCAGACTGGTCTGTGGTCTGGGAGGCAGAGGAAATTTATGAACCTAACATGTTTCTCGGCTGGCCGCTGCAATTCATTGTATAGGCCACATACGTATACAGACGGTAGCTTCATCCGAATGAAAGTCGAAAGCGAAGCGCATCCCAAGCGCGGGATTGAATAAGGTCGAGAATTTATCTACCATGCTTTTGCAGGGGCAAACGTACAGGAAGGCACCCCAATGTGGATGATCGTAATTAACACTTATGACCTCCTCTCAGATTGATTGAATCTGAAAAAAAAACATTTTTCTGGGGACAGAAGGAAATGTGCCTAAAATATTCGGGTGCACTCCGTTCCGCGCGTCCGTCGAAACTAAATCATGTCGCAGCCGTCGCACGCGGCGTGTAACTTCGCACCTTTGACAAATGTCGCAGTCAGTGGTGCATGCGAGTTGCGCTCGATCCACGGCGGCCAGCGGTTGCTTTTAGCGAGCGACGAGGGTCTACACGTCTGACGATATCGACCAAGATTCAATTGTAAATACGGGGCAAGCGCCGCCCCCGTCGATCGCTCGCGGGCCAAATCGCGGACTATGAAAGCAACCAGCCTAAAGTGAAATTAACAAGGATTAGTGCAAATCATTTGCTCTTACGCCTTCAATTTATTTCTCGACTTTGAGCTTTATCAAAAGCGAAGGCTGCACTTAACACCCGGTTCCTTAATGGGTAGACCAACGGCGCTCAGGACATTGGTTTCTTC